CTAAGGAAGATGGAAGTACTACCGCCAAAAATAATCATTAGTTTATTACTAATAATTCATCATCTGTAGTACTTTCTACTGTCTGCTGGTAACTAAACAGAGAAAATTTTCACCCTCATTGAAAGTGTCAAAATCCGTATCAGAAATGTAGATGGTGTGGTGTAAGAAGGGTTATGACTATTAATGATAAAATTCTTCAGTCCCTTATCTTAAGCTGGTTTTGGACAAAACCCACTGGCTACCATTTGTCCTGCTGATAGCTTTCAAAGCAAGTACTTTTATTCAACAGAAGGGTACCCACATCCAATATCCAAACCCATGCATTTCCTATGCAGTGAATGAACTGAGGCTGATATAATTAGCAGATGAACAGCAAATGTTTAAGTTGTTCACCCCTCCTAACCAAGATGTGGAATTTTCCTCACCCCACAAGCATAAATCAGTTGCTGCCTCTGTTCAACACAATATTCTTACATGGGGATGCTAGAAACAATTTAAACTGTAACAGAATAGAGAAAATTAAGGGGTGGGGGGAGGGAGTGTGCAGGGTGCATTTTGGATGATTGAAAATATAGTTCATTGTTCAACTCTGCACACAAAATAAACCAAATTTCATTCACTCATAAATATCCCTGTTGTGAAATACAAGTACCATCCCATCTTGCCTCTTTAACCTCTCATTGTGAGCCAGTTCTTTGAAACCGTCTTGGTATAATGGCAGGTTTTCTTTTTGGTGTGATTGCAAACGTACTGGAGTTTCTGTCAAGTGATAGAAAGAATGACTCAACTTTAGTCTTGAACTACATGGGAATTGGTTTCAGAAGAAACACTGAAATGGTGGGGGAAGGGATCATTATATAGAGAATCAGAGAAACTAGGTTAAAAGGTATAGCCTAGATGCTCCTAGGTATTTGTAAAAGCCTGCATAGAGTGTCTCCCTTACCTCCTAAGCAAGCAGTTAGAAAGAAGAATAATGAAATTGCTAGGGCTAATTTTCTATTTAATAAAGAACATAATGAATTTTCAGGTTTTTTCCCACTCCCCGTATCACACTAGAAATTCTTTCCATATATCATAAGAAATTAAGGGCATTTTTTCCTATCCAATGAATGTGTACAACATGAGGTTCAAAAATATCTAGGCTTGCATATGCACTTGTTTGTTAAAATTTCTTAGGTATTCAAAACCCCTTGTTTTCTCTGTTCTAGTCTTTATTCTAACCACTGATTTTTCTTTTGTTTTAAACTCTTTTAAACTAGTTTAAAAAGCACACAGCTTACCTTTTTCAAATTTACAACCACTACATTTGACGAGATATACACAGTGCTAAAATAGTTTTACTTTTTATAACTTTATCTTTCCTAGTCTCTCCATTTGTCTACAAGGTGCTTGCAACAAAGTAAAATGAAAGTTTTCTGAAATGTTAAGCTTGCAAATGAAGTAGACAATACCTCTGATTTTATTTTCATCCAGGCATAAAATTTAAAACAAGCAGAACATGTAAATGAAGAAGAAATTGCCAAGTGTTACTCTGTATTCAATACTCAGGCTTCAGATTTGCACTTGGAATAACCCATAGTATAGTATCATTCAGTGTACCATAACTTGAAAGTCAGCATGGTACAACAGGAACGTGATTCTGTATATTTGCCAAATTTGGTCATCCCGAAATAGTTCATCAAACATGTTCACTTTCATATATATTTTATACACAAACTCTTTAAAATTTATACTCTTTGAAAAAAGATTGTCTTATTTTGGAAAATACCCCAAGCCTGGTGGCGTTTTTCTTACAGGAATGTTGCTGCTATTGTAGGGAGAGGAAAGCATCACAAACTTTCTGAAATGGTGCAGAACACAGAAGTACTCCATTACCCTCTACAAGGTATTCCATGATCAGCTCAAGCCAGCGAGAGGCATTTTCACTACTTCTGGCTTCTGGAGTACCACCTTCCAAATTGGCTCATAAATCATCTCCTGGGGATTGTTCAGACAAGGTGCTGAAGAGGGAGGCAGTCATTAAAATGGAATCAATTTCCCCCAGAACTGGTATATAGAGAACCAAGCACCGTTCAGAGTTTTCTGTTATCGTGAAATCACTCAACCTACATTAAAGTAAAAGCTCAAGGTTTTGTTTACAGTATCCAGAAAGAGAAAACCGACACGTTTATCTAAACCATGGCTGAAAAAGCAAAAAAAGACTGTGAATAACAGATTTACTCTACATTTAACACCAAGTGTCGAAGCCTGCACTTACTTGACTTGTTGTAGAAGGATTTCCTGACACACTGTCACAAACTGTTCTGCGAAAAAAATCCACATTTATACACAGTGTTTACTTTGTGAATATACCAGCTTTTACAGTTAATTTCCTTTTAGTATTCTGTACAGGGTTTAAAGTGATTTAATCTTTCCCTTACTCCAAATAAAATAAAACGTAAAAAAACAAACTTACTGAGGAAACATTCTTCTCTTTCTCTAACATACAAATTAAACAAATTCCTTGGTGGTGCAAATGTTTATCAGATCAAGTACCATCTCCTGTACCCAACTGTACTCCAACAGCTGCTTACAACAACACAGTCCCAGTCTCTCATCATTCCCTATATTCCCTGTCTCCAGTGGGAGCTGTATTTGATGTTAGTTTGTATTTTAACAAACATACTGCTAAAAACTTTTCAGAGGTTAAAGGTATCTAGTTCAAGCTCCTGAGATGAAATATTAACCACTTCAAAATAAGAGAGGCTTGGGGATAACCACATATCCACTATTAAGAGATACTGCAACAGATATTTTGAAGTCAATCACTTGAAAATAGCAAAGATTTCAGAAGAAAAGTCATTCAGCTAACTAAGACTGGAACATTTATTCTAGAAAGGTCAATAATGTTCAGGTTTTGCCCTCCATGACTCAAGAAATTCCATAAAAGAAAACATTTTCCCATTTTCCCTGGATTCTGGAAGAAATTTTCACTCTGTTTTGATTTGCACTGATGTAACATTCCTCCTGGAAATGTGAAAACTCATTTTCTTTTCAGATATGAGAAGTATAAACAAATACCATCTGTAGTCATTGAAAAGGAGATACATTCATATACATATGAATTCGTACAAATTCCCATCATGCAGAAGGGGATAAATATAGTTAAAAAGTAGAGAAAATTTTGAGCGGCCCTAATTATATTTAGGTCCTGTTCATCTGTGCTGGACAGATTTGTTAATATCTAGGATCATAGCATCATCATAGAACGGTTTGGATTGGAAAGGACATTAAAGTTCATCACATTCCAACCCCCTGCCATGCACAGGGACACCTTTTACTAGACCAGCCCAGCCTTGAACACTTCCAGGGATGGGGCACCCACAGCTTCTCTGGGAAACCTGTGCCAGTGCCTCACCACTCTCACAGGGAAGACTGTCTTCTTGATATCTAATCTAAACCTACTGTCTTTCAGTTTGAAGCCATTCCCCCTTGTCCTGTCACTACAGCTCCTTGTAAAAAGTCTCTCTCCATCTTTCCTGTAGGCTCCCTTCAGATACTGGAAGGCCACATTTCGGTCACCTCAGAGCCTTCTCTTTTCCAGGCTGAACAATACCAATTCTCTCAGCCTTTCCTCATAGTAGAGGTGCTCCATCCCTCTGATCATCTTGGTGGCCTCCTCTGGACTCACTCCAACAGGTCCATGTCCTTCCTGTGCTGGGGACCCCAGAGCTGGAGGCAGCACTGCAGGTGGGGTCTCACCAGAGTAGAGGGGCAGAATCCCCTCCCTTGACCTTGGAAGAACCAAAGAAGCAAAAGTCATGGTGAGCAGACAATACCATTTATTCTCTGTGGACAAGCCATTAATGTTTCCAAAGATGTCTTATAGATAATGGTACAATGTCCAAAGCAATTTTTTCATTGCTTTGTGTTATACTGATGGCATAGGAACAATGAATTAGGGGGGTTATTTCTGCTCACAAAAAAGGCTTATTTACTGTTATTGCAGATTTTCAGTGCGGATGTACTCTTGCATTGCAACACCAACACATTACCTCAACAAAAAGAAAAAAGTAACTGTAGGTATGAGAAATTACATCTAAGTAAAAGTACTGTATACAATCTTTTCTTCCAGAATTAAGAATTTCTTCATCTACACCAAAGGAACATTACAATAGTGGTACAAAACCCAACAAATAACCCATTTTGTTCCACAAATGTAAAACCTTTTCTATTTAGCAAATCTTGCAAGATAGTTTGTGTGCCACTTTGTCATTTAGTGACCACCATTGCCAACAGGGCTGGATTTTTATATCTTTCAACATGATTTGGGCACTTTGGGGACATGTTTACTGCATTTCAAAGCACTGTATGAATTATTTCTGTTCACATTTATGTATTTATTGTCTGACATGAAAATTATGTTGCAATGAAACAAATCAATCCTAAATCAGCTTTTCAATAAATTTAGGTGTATGTGAAGCTACTGGGAGAGCAAAACTGTGCTTGTTATCCATATGAAGTATTGGAATGGTAATAAATAGTTTTTCACATAACGGTAAAATATTACACACTAGATTTATATATAAATGTATTAAATTATATAAACTATTTATTTAAATATATAAATATAAATATATAATATTAATTGATATATAATTATAACACATTATATATAATTATAATATGTTACACATAATTATAATATATTATATATAATTATATATTTTATAAATATATAAAATTCTGTGGGTTTTTAATAATAGATCTCACAATTAAAAGTTACAGATGAATTTTCATCATCTGTTCTGAAAACATGTATGAATTATATCTTACCAAAAGGTTTTAGAGAGTTTTACTCTAGAAAGCAGCATTTTATAGTGAATTTTAAGTCATTATGGTCATTAACTGATATAGTGGAAAACAAGTATCAGACAAAAGCCATCATTTTAAATAGTTATAATACTGCATGATACCACAGACTAGCAGGAACCAGAGCAGATCGTTCCTAGGTTACCTACCTGCCATTCTGACTGATGAAGACCCATCCTGCATAGGATATAAAATGAGGTCAGAAATAAAATCTAATGGCCTCCTTCAATAAAGTTGCTGTCCCTGCTCCCCGGCTGCTTTGGGCAGGGGCTGCCCAGCGAGTTACGTGCCCGGCACAGGGATGTTCGAGGAACTGGGGTGCCGCGGTCGATCAGGAAAAGATCATGAGACAGCTGAGGGGGTTCGAGGACAGTGGTAGCTTCAAGCAGCTATCACCATTAATTAAGGGTAGTTCACTCTATTTATAGGCTGGGCAGGGAAGGATCTAGAAAGAGGGGAGGAGCATGGGACTGACAGAGGTCATAACCAATCAGGGAAGGAAGGAGGGAACATGGGACTAACAGGGACCAAGAAGGGAAACATCTGCATTGCAGCAAATCTTGACCAATGAGAAAAATAGGGGATGAACGTGAGGGGAAAAATGCTGTAAAACTCGGGTACAATAAATTCAGTGCATGCATTAGCAGTTTCTAATAGTCTCGTTCGGTTAACAGCCTCTATTCTGACATGGTCGCAATGTAACACTTCACAGCATGTTCTCAACTAGCTGTTACCTCAGCTAGTGTCCTTCGTAGCTGCTGTTTCCAAACTAGAAATTTCTCCTCTTCACCACAGGTGCCTTCCACACTGGGGGATTTGGGGGACACTTGCCCAGAAGGGTCTGACCTCGGGGACCTCTGGGGCCACGGGCTTGTTGTGGAGTGGCATTGGCACCCCTGGAAGCCCGGCCCCTGCACCTGACAGCCCCGGGATCCCACAGCCCTGCACCTCCCAGCACGGCATTCCCCTGGGACTCTCTGCAGCACCCACAGCTCCCACACCTTGCACCCACCTCCAGGCACCCTGCCCCCATGGGGCCCGTGGCACCTCAGCACCGGCACCCTCACAGAAAGGACCCCACCCCCTCCCCACCACAGCCTGCGCTGCCCCCTCCACACATCAAGAGTGGGGGACATGGCCCAGTGCCCACTGCCAGCAGCAGGAACCTGGGCAGGGGAAGGATTGTTTCGCTTGGTTTGAGTATCTTGAAGGGCACAGGGTAGTGCCATGACGATGGGAAACAAAGCCCAGAGCGCTTGGAGGTTCAAAGCCTTAAACATAAGCCACTCCAATTCTAAAAGCTTCTCCCCAGATCCTGACTAGCACTTCCCAAGACTGTCATGGCCTTCAGGAAATCAGCTGGAGTTTTGCATCCCTGCGGCCTGATCTTGGCTCTCACCCCAGGAGTCCCCTTGGCTCTAGGAGGAAGGGGAGCAGGAGGTTTCCTGCCTGCTTTGGTGGCACCACTGCAGGGGCCGGTCATGTCAGACCCCCCTCTCCGCTGGTGACAGCTTTGCTCTTGGGGACACTGCTCTGCACCAGCCCATGAACACCAGGAGTGCCCAGTGCGGGACCTCTGCAAGTGGGACCCCTCTGTGCACAAGTTCCCCCAGACACCCCCGGGGGGGCCGTGCCAGCACCCCCAGACACCTCCAGCCCCGGGAACCCGGAGCAAGTGGAAACCACAGCACTGCAAATACTGCAAGGGCCCAAAGCAAATGCAAAGAGAGCTGGGGTGTGCAAAACAAAGACTATTTATTGACAGAAGAGTAGCAAAACCAATGAACTACAGAACGTATTTACATTATAAGAATCTTTATAAAAACAACAACCTACAAAACATATTTACAATTCAACTTATCTAATAGCAAAAACTCTATCCAATGTATTTACAGGAGGAAAACGAAACAACAACAACTAAAACATACGTACAGGGGTCAATTTCCTCTCCGGCATGTCCGTCAGTCCTGGAAGAAGAGCAAGGGCACAGTCATTCCAGTCAGGCCCTGCTGGGTGTTCCATGTGCCACCAGCCTGGGACTCGCTGGGCAGAGCGGGCCTCTGCCGCCAGGACTGAGCCCGGCTGGGGAGGGGAGCCGGGCCCCAGGCAGTGGGACAGGGGTTGTGTGACCCAAAGCAGGCGCAGGGCAGGGCAGGGGTGGTGGCTGTGCCACCAGAATCCAGGGACAGGGCACTGTGTCCCTGAGTGGGACCACCCAGCTCAGCCCCGCCCCAGCCTGGCAGCAAGAGACCCACTCTCCCTGTGGGCAGGGGATGGGGCAAACGTGCCTGTCCTGCTGCTGCAGGGTCTGTCCTCATCCCAAAATCATCTCCTCCTCCTCATCGTGCTGATCGACATCCATGTCCTCCAGATCTTCTTCCAAATCGATCTCCATCTCCTCCACAACATCTTCTAAGTCGACCTCCATCATCTCTTCCATATCCACTACCATGTCAACTTCCATCTCCTCTTCCGTGTCTCTCTCAACCTGCATCAGGTGGTACAACCTCAGAGAGGTGTCCCTGCCCCACACCATTCTCACAGTTCTCCATCTCATCCGGGCAGTCGAGGGGGGGCCACCTCCATGGAATGGCAGTGTACCTTCTTTGGGACGAGGGTGCCCATCCTGCAGGGGTGGATGCCGAGATCCAGACAGCAGGTGGAGTTCGGGACTGGCGGGTGTAGCAGGGGCAGCTGACGAGGGCGCGCTGGCACAGCCGAAGGCAGCGCTGGCAGCAGGAGAGTGGCTGCGTTGTGCTCATCGCCGGGCACTCGCAGTTCCAGCTGGAACACGGGCTCTGGGTGATGGGGACCACAGAATGATGGAATCGTGGGATGGCTGGGCTTGGAAGGGACCCTAAAAGTCATCTCCTTCCAACCTGACCAGCCTTCCATCAGACCAGGTTGCTCCGGGCCCCGTCCAACTGAGCCTTGAATGTTGCCTGGGATGGGGCATCCACAGCCTCTCTGGACAACCTGTGCCACTGCTTCACCACCCTCCCAATAAAGACTATTTTCCTAACATCCAGTCTAACCCTACTCTCTTTCAGTCTGAACCCATCCCCCTTTGTCCTGTGACTACAGCTCCTGATGAACAGTCCCTCTCTGGCTTCCTTGGAGGCCCCTTCACAGACTGGAAGTTTGCTCTGAGGTCTCCACACCATCCACTCCAGGCTTGGGAAGAGCCCCAACTTTCTCAGCCTGTCTCCATAGGGGAGTTGCTCTAATCCCCTTTGCAACTTTGTGGTCTCCTTTGGATTTGCTCCAACAGCTCCATGGACTTCTTATGTTGAGGACCCCAGTGCTGGGGGCAGCACTGCAGGCGGGATCTCCTGAGAGCAGAGCAGAGCAGCAGAATCCCCCCCTCCCTGCCCACAGTGCTGGAGATGAGCCCTGGACATGGGGGGTTGCTGGGCTGTGAGTGCACATGGCCAAGGCATGTTGAGATGCAGGTCTGAGGCTGATGTTCCACTGTTGTTCTCTGTGGGCTGCACACAAGCATCACACACCCGTCTCCTCACCAGCCATCGATGGTTTTCCATGTTCAGAACGCAGGTCACAAACCGACTCCAGCCCTGCTGCTTCTTTTGGAGCCTCACAGTTAGATCAGAAATGCGCTGGGAGAATTCTCAAGTTCCTGATGAAGAGTCCCCTCCGGCCTCCTTGGAGGCCCCATCACAGACTGGAAGGTTGCTCTGAGGTCTCCACGCAACCTTCTCTTCTCCGGGCTGAACAGCCCCAGCTTTCTCATCCTGTCTTCATAGGGGAGGTACTTAGTCCTCTTTGCAACTTCGTGGCCTCCTCTGGACTTGCTTCAATAGTTCCAGGGACTTCTTATTTTAGTGACCTCAGCCATTCTGAACTTGTGACATTTATGTGCTTAAAGACTATAGCACTGTCAGTGAAGGAAGCTGCCTAAAGAAGAAAAGAGCAGCATTATCAGCAAAACTTATGATACTCATTAAGTCTTTTGATTAGCGTAGGTGAATTTAATTGCTCTTTAGAGCCTGGAAGATAAATCGTAAAACCTGAATACAAAATTAACAAGATCACCTCAAGAAACTGTTGGCTTCTTATTGACATCCCTGAAAATAAAATGGGGATTCATCAGTTTTGAGTAACGAATTTACCATCTGTGCTTATCCTAAACTACTTCTGATAGAATGTCTGAACTTCATAAATATTCCTGGGTAAGCAACTCTCATGTTTTCCCATGTAAGAGAACAGATAAATATTCACAGTTCCATTTTTCTAATACAGAAGTAGTGAAAATAGTCAGCTAGACTAAAAGCATATTTCAGATCAGGAAACCTTGCTTAAATTCATAGAAAAGATCTCCAGTTTGCTGTATGAAATCAAAGGGGATACCACCTGCTTCTTAATCTGCTTAGATAAAGTATTATGCAGACCCTATCTCTGTTTTTTATCCATTTCTGAGGTGCACATTCTTTGTCTGACATCCTCCCTTGTATCTACAGCTCCAGTCACCTGAATGGCTGAACCCTTTAACACCTCTAAAGAGAAAGCAATAGCCAGGATGCAAGAGTTTAACAATGAGCTTATTAAAAACTTTTCTTTTGGTATAAAAACAAGGAGGCTAGTGAAAAAAATCCCCAAATGTTATAATGATTCACCCTGTTTTTTAACTTTCCACAAAGGCCAGGTTGGATGGAGCTCTGAGCAACTTGCTCTAGTGAAAGGTGTCCCTATCCATTGTAGTGGAGTTGGAACTAGATAATATTTGAAGTCCCTTCCAAATGAAACCATTCTTTTATTCTGTGATTCTCTGATTCTGGAGCTTTTATACTATCTCATCAGAAGGTCAGAGCCTCTCCTTGGTGTTCTCCAACTCTGAAAAAGGCATTTCACCTGAGAAACATCATCTCTTAAATCTGTTGGTGGCCATTTACATCCTGCTTTAAATACTAGCCTTTTTTTCAGTCATAAGAAGCTTTAATGAATGTGCTGGCATATAACATAACTGTTCTGCTGGTAGACCTCAGTGCCTCCCAAGGTGAGATTACTCAGATGTGATAGGAAGGACATCAGTCTGTTGAAGTGAGTCCAGACGAGGCCACAAAAACAATCAGTGGGATGGAGCACCTCTGCTATGAGGAAAGACTGAGAGAATTGGGATTGTTCAGCCTGGGAAAGGAAAGGCCTAATTGCAGCTTTCCAGTACCTGAAGGGAGCCTACAAGAACGATGGAGAAAGACTATTTACAAGGGCCTGTAGTGACAGGACAAGGGGGAATGGCTTCAAACTGAAAGAGAGTATGTCTGGATTAGATATTAGAAAGAAATTCTTCTCTGTGAGGGTGGTGAGGCACTGGCACAGATTTCCCAGAGAAGCTGTGGGTGCCCCATCCCTGGAAGGGTTCAAGGCCAGGCTGGATGGGGCTCTGAGCAACTTGGTTTAGTGAAAGTGTCCCTGCCCATGGCAGTGGATTGGAACAAGATGGTCTTTAAGTCTCTTCCACCCTAAACCATTCTATGATAACTTTTGATGGCCTTCTTAAGGATTCATCCATAAGCCCAAGTTTTTGCCAGAAGAGCAAGACACGTTCCCTGAACTACATGTTAAATTGCTAAAAAAAGC